GGGGGGGGATGTGCTGGGAGGGAAGGATGCTAGGATTTCTTTGGCCTGGGAAGTAGGTGGGGTGGGGGCACCTCAGGGCCAGGAGCGATGTGTGTTCATGACTGTATGTGAGTGTGAATCTATGCCTATCTGTTGACTATGCTACCGTGGTTCAATATTGTGTATGCATTTTGGAAGTGTGTAAATCCCTCACAGGGCTGTTGTGTGAGCATGTGTCTTATGAGTGAACATCTCAGAATGTCTGTGCAAGGTGAATCTTTTTGTGCCTGTGTGCTTGTGTATCAGTTTTGTGTGTCTGTGTGTGCTTGTAGTTCTGTGTCATGTGTGTGAGGTGTGTATCAGCTAGGGTGTGCATTTGGGCATCTGTTGGTGTGGGGATATATCAGTTTTGTGACCATGCATCATGGGGACATGTGAAGTTGTATGAGTGTGTATGAGTGTGTTTGGACGTTTAAAAGCATGCACCTGTGTATCTTTGATTGTGCAAGTGAGTATATGTTATATGCGTGTGCCCCTGTGTGTTGGCTAGTGTGCACGTGTTTCTCTCTTATAGGTGCATGTATCCGATTGTCTGCAAGAAGGCACATGGGTTTCTCTGTTGTGTGTGTGCATATGTATATATGAATGTGCAAGGGAAAGTCAATGTTGTACATGTGTGGTTGTGTGCAGGTTGTGTGCAGGTTGTGTCAACCTTGAGGGTGTGGGTCTATGTTGTGAGTCCATTTATGTGTCAGTGTTGGTCTCTGGGGATTGGTCTATGTGCAGGGCGTATGCACACATGTGCCTGTCTTCCTGGCATAAGGCTGACCCCACTTCTTGGCCCAGTGAGATTTGGGCCCATGTGGTGTGACCCGTGGTATGCTGGGGTCCATCCAGGGGGTCCAAGGACACAAGGGCGTCCACATGCTGGGCTAAGAGGCCATGGAGGGTGGGGGGCACACATCATGCTGGTGGGTCCATGGAAATCCAGATGTAGAGACTTGGGCCCATGTGGGTTTTGGCATGTCCACGCATGTTGGTGTGACAATGGTGTAATGGCAAGGATGGGGACCGCTGGTTCTTTCCTACCCCCAGTACCACTCAGCTCTTTGAAGTTGGAGGACTAGGATGTGAACTCTGGAAGGAGGAGACTGGAAGCCTGGAATCGTGGATCTGAGAAGGCTGCTGGGAGGCCAGATTCCTGGGTCTTGAGAAAGGAAGAAACTGAGACCTGGACTCTGGAGTTTGAAGGAGGAGGAAGCTGGGGTTGTAGACACCAGGGTGGAAGGAAGGGGAAGGGGCTGGGGTTCCTGGCCTCTTGGGCCCACAGAGGACAAAGAGTTAAAGCCCCGGACTCCTGGGTTTTGGAGGGTGAACAGTCCTGAGACCCAGACTCCCTGGATTCCAGAAACAACTCACTGGGTCTGTCTGAGCCTATGCAGAGCCTGCAGCAGGAGGGCTGAGAGAATGATCACACCAGGGACTTCCTTGGCTGAGATGGTCTCTGAGGCAGGTCTTCAAAGAGGAGCCAGAAGGATGCTAATAGGATCATTTTGTTCCTTTGCAGGTACCGGCCCAGGCCCTAACTCCCTGCAGAGAGGTGAGTGGGGTCCCTCAGGCTGGGGAGAGAGATGTGGAGTGATTGGGCCTGTTCTGAGCCAGCTGGAGGCCTGGAGCCCTGCCTGGTATGGATTTCAGGGCAGGGTATGGCAGTGACTTCGAAAGGGCCCCGGGGTGGGGGTGGGGGGGAGGGGGCGGCCATGACAACAAGATCAGGAGCATCATGTTTGGATCAGGGCTCGTGGTAGAGCCAGGGCATGGGTGGTAGGTGGGGGTTTCGGGCCTGGAAGCATCCCCTCTCTGGGTGGGTCAGGTGGTTGGGACAAGGAAGTCTCCTGATGATATCAGTAGGGGGTACAGAGAGTTTCGTGACATGAAGTGAACCTTGCATTTGGAGAGCGACATGGTTTACCATTTTGTGTGTGTGTGTGCGTGCATGCATGTGGGAAGATCTCCGGTAGACTGATTGGCTAGTGGCTGGGAGAGAGGCAGAGAAAATGATACAATAATAATGATGATGATGATGATGGTGATGATGTTAATAATAGCTGCTAACACTTATGTAGTGTTTAGTCTGTCAGGAACTATTCTGAACATGTTACAGTGTATTATACTTCATAACAACCCCATGAGGTAGGTGCCATCATTATCCCCATTTTACAGAGGAGCACACTGAGGCACAAAGAGGGGAAGTCACTGGATTCAAGTCGCGCAACGGGGAACTGGGGTGTGAACCTGAGCGGCCAGGCCCAGATTCTTTCTTGCAATGCTGCACTACCTCTCAAGAAATGTTAGCTATTTTCATTGCTGTTATTATCCCTTCGACTCGAGTCCCACCCCAGGTGTGGGAGGCAAAACTGGGCACTTCTGTTTCATAGATCGGGGTTCTGAGCCTTAGAGACCCCACAGGCAGGCAGGTGCAGAGCTGGGCCTCCCAACTCAGGAGTTCCGCCTTTCAGGTTTTCCATTCGATACAGAGCTTTATCCCAGGAGGATCGCAAGACAAATTAATAGGGGGTGCTCAGAGATGGTGGGATGCCCTGCCTCTGCCTCTTTTTCTCTCTCCAGCCCGGGCGCTGTCCCTCTGTCTCTATCTCTTCCTCCATCTTGGTCTCTCTGTAATCTCTTAGGATCACTTCCTGCCTCTCCCTCACTCTTCCTCTCCCCATCTCTTGGGCTCAACGCCCTTCTCTGCCTGTTTCCTCCCTTCTTAGTGCTCCAGTCTGTCTTGGTTTCAGGCTGGCTCCTTGCCTCTGCACCTTTCTTTCAGAGTCTTTCTCTTTTCCTTATTTATTTATTTATTTATTTATTTATTTATTTATTTAAGCTCTTTGCCCAATATGGGCTCGAACTCGCCACACTGCAATCAAGGGTCACATGCTCTACTGACTGAGCCAGCCAGGCGCCCCTCAGCTTCTTTTTCTTTTTGTCCCTTTGTCTCTCTC